TTACGTAATTAGATAATCTAAACAAAAAAATAAATTCATTGAATGAGGTACTAAGGAGAAAAATTTAGAATTTTCTATTGAACATTATTTATAAGAAAAAACAAAGAAAAGCCACATCACGTTTGAACCTGAGAAAATGAATTGATGTCAAGATGCCGGCTCAGGATCGATTACATTACATCCCTTCTTTTTGAATTTTTTTTTTTCTGAAATATCCAGATATACTTTTATAAAATGATCCGAAATTCTCTACAATTTCAAACATTTATTACAAAATCAAATGAACAGACAAATCATTTAGTATCCATCGCTTGTTGAAATGTCGCTGGAGGCAAATTTTACCCCTGCCTAAATCAGTTTGGACTTTTATAGATATCAACTCTGAGCATACTTCTTCAACCTGTATTTTTAATATGCTTCAGAAAGATCCAGAGAAAAAGGTTTTCCACCGTTTTAAATTTTAAAAAAATATCCCCTGAACGTTCAATGGGTTCAACATTCAGTTAAATATTTCAATTCATTCATGTCATCATTTGTCTGGTTTAATAAGTTCATGTTTAACGTTTTACTGATTGTTTACAGCATTTTTTTGAAATAGAACTTTTGAGAAATTTGAATTTTAACAAAAAATATTTTTTCTTATATTAGAAAATATTTTTAAATATTTAAAATTTTTGTTTGTTTAAAGAAAGCTGAAATTAAAATAATTATTCTACAAACAACTGGACAAAACAGCAAAAGTAGGATCTTTTTATTTTCTCTTTTTTTTTAAAAAAATATTTTAAAAAAAATTGTCTCTTTTCACGAAAGTTAAAATAAAAAAACAAAAAAATAAACAAATCTTATTTCTAAATCTTATTCATTTCAAATATTTTTTTTTGAAATTTAGATTAACTTAAAAAATTTTTTTGAAATATTTAAAATATTGTTTGTTTTAAACAAATGTGAAATAAAAATAATTATCAGATTAACTTAAATCATTATGCACCAGACAAATGCACACACCAGACAAGCAATCACAGGCTTTCAGTAATATATAAATCTCATCCAGATAAGCAATGTGAAATCACAATCTATATAAAGTATAGTATCTATAGCTTGTTGAAATATAGCTGGAGCCACTTTTATCCCAAAAGGAAGTCTGTTGGACTTAACCAATCCTTGTTTTATTTATTTATAGTTTCTTAACTCTGAACATTATTCTTCAACATATATTTGCAAATTATATCAAAAAGATCCAATTCAAAAAAAAAAATACCACTGTTTAAATTCGCAAACATTTTCTCTGGACTTGGGTTCCATTATGGGATTCTAAACATTTATTTAACCCTGTCGAAAAATCAGCACAAATACAATTTTTTTTCTTTACAGCTCTACTGGAGCTGCCCATTTTAAATGGTTAATCTTTTCAATTACCTCCATTTTCTCAAGTCTAATTCTTTATTGACTTGCTGCAAAAGGTACACTACGTTTTGGTTTAAACACTGGCGTCAACCCTATTTTCACTTTCAACAAGTTAAATAATAACCTTGTTTCATCCGGCAGAACAGAGGGAAAACATTTTTTCAGTTCATCCTTTAAATTTTCAAACCTTTCTTTTTAAACTTGTAGCTTGTCCACTTACATTTTTTAAATAAATATGTATAGGTAATTCCCACAACTCAAATAATTCCATTCAGTCAGTACCAAATAATATTGTAGTATTTTTTGACACATAAGTCTTAGCTTTTACACACTTCTTACGAAATGAAACGTTACAAGTCATTTCACCCCCAAAATAATTTCTTACCCGGTACGTCACGTGCAATTTTCGAAATTCTTTTTAATGTAGGTTTTTCCGTTTGCTTTCCATGTGGCTTCGTTGATTGTGATATCATTACCAGTTTCTAGTTGCATTTTTACATCCATATTATTAATTTTCACATACATAAATTTTCTTTGTTTTTCTGTAATTATTTTTTCTGTCGCAACGCCGTGTATGAATCTTTTCTTTTAGAACTTTTCCTTGATTTAGTTTTACACGGTGACTTTTTATGTCCTAATTTTCCACATTTGTAGCACTTTGAATTCTTAAGGGACAGTCGTATCTGAGATGTTACCTTCCACTTCTGAAACAATTAATTTTTCTTTTTCCACATTTTTCTTTAGCCTTTTTGCATGCGCATTCTTTTCCTTCAATTTATTCCGAAAATTAACATTTTAAACATATTTGGAGGCAGTTAATTTGAAACTTTCACAATCCTTTTTAACGCTTCCTCTATATGTGGCACAAGCTTTGCCTTATCTTTTCGTCAAATTCATACACTTTCAACGAGTATTGAATAACGAACTTTTCTCGCTAAAAATTTTAGTCAGAATATTTATTGTTTTTTCAAAGCAAATTTCTCGGTAGTCCAAAATCATAATATTTTTCATGGTATACCAGTGTTAGCTTTCTCAATAAAAGTCTTGTTATTTTTTATCGTCTTTCCAGTCGCTGCATTCTCCTCTGAAAATTTGCTCGTATCTTCTAAAATAAGCGGAAAAGGTAATTCCATTATCTGAATTGTATGTGAATACAGCTATGGCATTTGCCACCGTGTCAGATGTGAAAGAATTTGGGGAATTTTCCATTTTCTTCCGTTTTATTTCAATTAGATTTTGTTGTTTTGGAGTTCCAACAACTACTATTGTTGTTGTTGGTTTTTTTTTTTTTTTTTTTTTACCACTTTTAGCTAATAAAACTTCCATATGTTTTGAATATCTGTTTTTTTTCTTTTCTTCTGTTATTTTTTATTTTTTTATACACACTAAAGAAAAAAATTAAACCAAACTGGTTCTAATTTCACGCCGTCACTGTTATCATGTGTGCGAAAGCAAAAAAAAAAAAAACAAAAAAAAAAAACAAACAAACAAAAAAACAAAACAAAACAAAAAAAATACTTTCCCCTGCTCATTATGAGTTTCGATCCCTCGTCGCCACTGTTATAACTCGCACCTAGCAGTTATAATATGTTGTCCCGCTAGAAAACGCGTATTTAAAACATTTTATATTTTCTTTTTCCCCCCCAAGGACTGGTATTGAAGAACCTCCCCACAAGGCAGGGTGTGGCACAAGACAGATTTCTATGTGGGGCAAATCCGAGGCTGTGCAAATGAGAAGTTCAAAGTCTGGATACCAGCAAATTCAGTGTCATTAGAATGATGAAGCCACTTGTTATGATGGACATTGAACAAGAAGAAACATAAAATATTTACACCTCATTTATCAGAATAGCCTATAAACTACTATTCAAATTCTAAGACAATCAAGCAAACAAAGAGGGAACGAAAGAGCAATGAAGATTGTTCCAAAGGATAAAATAGATAATATTTTAAAAACAGTTTGATATGAAAAAATTTTTTTTTTTTTTTTAATATTTCACCCCAAGCAAGGCAGGAAGCCACTAGCACGCAAGGGGTTACAGAGAGTTGGAGCGAGAGCAAATAGGAGTGATAGAGGAAAGGATGAAGAGAATAGGGGATAGATCAAGGCATCTGGAGACGTCGATTGACATTACATTTGAATAGTTGGAGATTATAGCTATCAGGGAAACAGGAAAAAAGGGGGGAGTTCCACAGGCGAGAGGTGCGAGACATGAAGCTATTGGAGTAGAAGAGACGGCTACATTTAACAGTTTCGACAGTGAAAGGGTGAAAGCGAGATGCCAAACTAAAGAACGCTTAAATTCATGAAGTCTGGGAACCAGCGAAAGCAGATCATCGGATTATAGTTACCATGAAAGTATTTGTAAAAAATTTAAAAAAAAAAATGAGGGAGGCGACGGTTATGAATCTGATTAGAGAGCGACTGCAGACGAGATCTCTTTGAAAGGAGGTGCCTTATTTAACATGCAAGAATAATCAGGAGACAGTTTCTTTACCAATCTGAGTTGGTCCAAGGAGATTCTGATTTAAGTCCCTTCTGAAAGGTCTTGAAGATAGTCGGAAACAAACATGAAATCGGACATATATATATTGGTACTGACAATGGATAAGCAAGGCTTCCAAAGAAGGTGCTGTGCAAACAACTAACAAAACCTACAACTCATTCGAAATGTCCACCCTTACGCTACTAAGAACATTGAAAGACGGCTTAAAAAATCTCAACTTCAAACTAAAAACCTGGGAAGCCATAGCATTAAATCAAAAGAAATAGTAATTATAAGACATGTTTTTATTAATTTAAAGAGTTTTGAAAACAGTAGACTGAAGCAACTGGATCAGCGTCGTCAATTCTTTTTTAAAGAACCTATTAAAATCCTTATTTTAACAAAATTACATCTCTCAGTGTGGCTTTGTTGTTTTCATCAAATATTTTCATCATCATCAGTTTAAACAGATTTTACTTTTCGTCTACTCTTCAGGGGTATCAAAATAAAAAGAGAGAGGAGCTATTATAATGTTTAGTTAAGAAATTTAAATGAAATATGTCATTCCCAAATACCTGGTTTTTCCACAAGAGCCCCTGTTCCATGCAGTTTAAAAACAAAAAGGCACTATCTAATGCTGGCCCTCATTTATCGTTCACGATTTTTTTTTATTATATATATATATATATATATATATATATATATATATATATATATATATAATAAATAAAAGTTTAATGGGCAGAGTTGAATCATACCATTTTGGGATGTATTAAAAGTGCTTTTCATACATGTGGAAAAAAAAAAATAATAGTTTAAAATAACATAAATTTTTTGACTTTAAAATCACGAAGTTATTTTGAATCCGATGCCTTGGTTTCAACCTTATAGTATCATCTGGTGATTTCAAATAAAAAAAATTGATAAAAAGCGCCAGTAAATTTTTTTGACCGTAAAGTTGAAACCAAGGTAGGTAGTTATTTGACCTCCTGACTTTGTCAAGATATATATATATATATATATATATATATATATATATATTACCTTGTCATGGATCTATCTATTTATTTATCTCAGTGTCGTTTATATCTAAGTCTGTTCATATCTAAGTTTCTTCATATCTATCTATCATTTATCTATCTATCTATCTATCTATTCATTCTATCCATATTGTTCCATTCTGTTCTATTATCTATCTATTCTGTTTAAATATATCTATCTATCTATCTATTAATCTATCTATATATTTAATTATTTGTCTGTGTTATACTGATGGATTCCTTTGCATACCATTTTATTGAGTCAAAAGACTAGAAGTTACTATTGTATCTTATGGCAAACATTTGATTTATGAGTTAGTCCCACATAAAAATGCTTGAATTTAATATTTTTGTCTACTTGACGATCTTCCAAAATATATCAGTCTTCCTGCTGTTAAATATGAAATAAGATATGTTGCAGATTCGTGTTTGCTTATATGACATTTTTAATGTATCGCGTCTTAAACATATAATACCAGTCATGTTGTTGTGTCGTTTTTGCATTTATGAAATATATATGGCATTGTGAAAATGAAGAAACCGACATAACACTAACAAAAATATCTTCGATCATGGTTATTAAAGGCAGTCAGACATCGGACATTAAAAAAAAAAATATATATATATATATAAATTTATATATATATATATATATATATATATATATATATAAAGATTTGTCAAAAGTTATGATAGATGTTACCTTCATTATTCTCACTTTCAGATTTTAAAGATAATTGTCCTCTACTTTTCAGTGAGTATCACAAATTGCGAAATTGAGAGATAAAGAGATAAAGAGAAACTTGAGAGAGAGAGGGAGACACAGAGAGAATGGCAAGAGAGGAGAGAAGGAAAGAGAGGGTCAGAATTCAGATGGAGACTGTCTGAAGAGAGAGAGAGAGAGAGACCTTATGTCGTCCTTTAAAATATACTTGTTTGATTTATACATCTGTTTCTGATTCTATGATGAACACACGAAGCATTTTTAACCTATGGAAGGCCAAAAGGGTCACATGAAATAAATCAACAACACAAAGCCATTAAAGCTGTAAAAGCAAGTATGCTAGGCAGTGGCCTGATCTAATAAATATGTAGAAGTCAGACAAAGGACTGTCTTTTATGCACTTCAAAACGATTTGTTCCTAATTTTTTGACAATATCTTCTGACTAATTGTCTAGTTTCCCACCCATTTACATTTCCACTGAAAATAAAGAATTTATTTCTCGTTCTCTCGCTTTCGTTTTTTTTTCTTTCACTATATTAACTAGACCCTCTTTTTTGCTAAAATATTTCTTAAGAGGATTTTTAAAAATATCTTTCCAAGAGTACATCTCGAAGAGAAACACGAATGAGTCCCAATCAATTTTACTTTCTGAAGAGCGGAAGGAGATATCTATAGACAATATTGTTTTTCAGCCTCTTTGTTTGTTTGTTTAAAAAAAATATTTTTTTCAATTTTCTTTTTTTCTTTTTTCTTTTTTTTTTTCTACGTCTTTTCTTTTTCTTTCTTTCTTTTTTTTTCTTTTCTTTTCTTTCTTGGAAATTTTTCTCGTTTCAACCCCTTTTTACTTTTCTTTTAATTATGTTTCTTTCTTTCTTTCTTTTCTTTTTCTTTCTTTTCCAATTTTATATTTTTCATTTTCATTTTGGTTTTTCTTTCTTTTCATTTTTCTATTTAAAAAATCTTTCTTTCTTTTGATTTACTATCCTGGTCTCAATTTTCAATTTTGTTTTCTTTTCTTTTTAACTTTTTTTTGAATTCTTTTGAATCAATTTTTATTTCTTTTTCTATTCTTCTCGTTTAATCACCCTTGTTTTTTTTTAAATTTTTTCAAACATTTTTAGGTATATTTTTTTCTTTCTTTTTTTCTTTCTTTCTTTCTCTATTAAAAAAATTCAAAAACCTATTAATTCTTTCTAAATTTTCAAAAATGATTTCACATTCTTACTTTTAAAATTTCTTTTTAAACAATTTCTCCATTTTCTCTCTTTTTCCTATTTTCTTTTGATTTTCTAATATTAATTTTAATAAGTTGAATTTAATTTGTTTTCTTTCTTTTTTTTTTTTTCTTTCTTTTTTTTTTCAAAATTTCACTTGCCGAAACAATTTTTATTTCTTGCTTGCTTGCTAAATTCATTTCATTCTTTCTTTATTTCAGAATTTCATTCTTCTTTTCTGATTTCTTTCTTTTCATTCTTTTCTTTCAAATTTTTTCTTTTTTTAAAAGACATTTTAATCAAGTTAGAAAATGATAATTATTTTCAGAGTTATTTATTCATATTTGTTTTTGTATTTGAAAAATGGCTTTTAAAACGCATTTAAATTAAATTATATAGAGTTTTCCTCAGGGGAGTATTAACACTGATGAACCAGAAATAACCCTCTTTAATACTGCATTTTCGAGGCAAATTCATTCTTTTTACATATATTTGAATCTGCACTAGACTAATGTTGATAGAAAGAAATAAATAAGAAAAAATTGTTTTGATTGAATGAATTTAATCAGAAATAAACTTAATCAGACATAATATAAATTAATTATTTTATTGACAAAAAGTGGGCATAGTACATATATATATATATATATATATATATATATATATATATATATATATATATATATATATATATATATATATATGCATGTTTCATTAAAAACGACAGACAAGGTACTACGGTTAAGCTTTTTATTTAATTTTTCTTGTGTTCTGACAAGAGCTTTCTTTTCTGGACAAAGGGTGTGTAAGAACTGTCCAAATGTTTTATATTTCCGAACGCTTTCGGCTATACCTTTAGCCATTATCAAGGATGATTATATTTTTCAGTTTAATTGAGTGTGTGCGTTCTGTGTATGTCTTAGTGTGTGGTAGGGATGTTTTTAATTTCCGAATACGGTTAGCACATTGTGGCCTTGTTCGTAGTTAATATTGTTAAGAGTTGGCTTTTTCTTTTTTATTACTAAGGCTTCCATTATTTTTCGTCTTTTTTTGCAGGTTAATATATTTGTGTTTTCTACTAGTATGTTTCTAATGGAGTCTGGTAAATTTGTGTGTGTGTTTAAATGGGTTCTAATGGAGATCAGATAGGTGTAACGTAAGACGCCTGGATAAGTGTAACCGATGTAATTATTTATGAGTCTGGTTTGATCAGGAACATGGTTCCTTAAGGTGCTTTTGAACTCATAGATAATGTTCGTTCTTTGTAATTTTAACTTAGCTGGTGTGTTGCTATTTTTGAGGAAACCCATTCCAGTCGAATCCATTACATTCGCTTACGTGATAATACCTTGGGAAAGGTATGAATCCTCTTCTTCTCTCCCCCAGCTATGTGTAAATAGCAGGACAGACCGGGTTCTATAGCTTTTGATGGCAACTATTCTACCACAGAAAAGATGGCTAACCACTGCGGGAAAAAATCTGCCTCGTCAGTCATGTATCGTGTATCACGCATGACACTAACTGGTTGGGTGTTCAGAGACGCAGTAACCCTATGACCTCACCCGGTCATAGGTTTGCTGCCGTTAAAAAATGACCATACATGATGATAATCTTTTCTTCACAAATATTAACATGTGTGTGTGTGGGGGGGGGTTACTTATTTTTTTTTAAAATTTTATGACCCCCCTCTGAAGTTATTTAGAACCCCTCGTTTACTAATATTGCACTTTTGATCCTTTAAATCATTTTCAAACAATTCTTATTAAGACCACGCCCTTTTTATTCTATATTGAGAAAAATTCTAACACCCACTTTTATTAAGATCTCTTGATTGCAACTGTTCTACTGTAGAAAGAAATGACAACCTACTGCGGGAAAAATCTGCCTTTCTTATATGTATCGAAAAGATACATGATCGCCTTGCGTAGCGTGTATCATGCGCTGCGTATATAACTGACTGACTGACTTTCCAGTCGAATCGATTGCATTCTCATATGTGCTAATACCCTTTGGGAATGTATGAATCTTCTTCTGCTCCCCCTCCCAGGACAGACTGGGTTCTATAGCCTTGGATGGTGAGTGGTCTACCGCAGAAAGAAATGGCAACCTTCTGCGGGAAAAATCTGTATCGTCAGTCATGTATCGAATGATACATGATCACCTGGGCGTGTATCACGTATGGCACATAACTGATTGACTGATTTTCCAATCGAATTTGAATCGAATTACATTCACTTATGTGTTAATACCCTGGGGAAAGGTATGTATCCTCTTCTCCGCCCAGCTATGGACTAGACAGACCGGGTTCTATAGCCTTGGATGGCAACTGGTCTACCGCAGAAATAAATGGTAACCTATCACACATGGCACATAATTGACTGAGCAGAGAAAGTATCAAGCCAGATGTCTGAAATGTTGTCAATTCCTGGTGATTTCCACTTGTGAGACTTGGTTAATGCGTTTTTTAATTCTTTTGCTGTAATATATCGCCATTGTTCTTGGATGTTTCCAGCATTTTTCTCCAGATCTTTTGACAGTTTAGCATCCTCAGTGTGACATCTTGTTGTCATTTCCCCAGATGATATTCCAGAATATGCTTATTTCTCTTTCCAGTGGCGTTTTCGCTATTGCAACTGCCTGGATTCCTATTTTCCTGGAAAATTTTAAAAAAGGATTGCCGTAATTCTTCCAATATTTGTCAACACCTCGAGAAAAATGTGATTTAAAAAAAATAAAAGAATGTTTAACAAAGTTCAAAAATATTTCGACATTACGTCTATCTTCTTCAAATTATGTTTAGAAATTGCCTACAAGTATAAAAATAGAAAATAGTTACAAAAAATTACAAGTCTTTGCACAAATATCACTTGTCTTGAGGAAAACGGCTGTAGTGGTAATCAATGCGTCAAAATGAATGGAATGCAACTGAAACGTGTGTAACATGATGCTGATCGTGATCATTTTGGAATTTTCCGTTAGTTGATTGATTAGTTACTAAGAGGAATTAATCAAAGTTTAGTATTTCTGTCTCATTCCTTATATTTGCATCTCCTTCTTCTTCTTCCTTCGCCTCCTCCTTCTTCTCCTTCTTCTACTTCTTATCATCCTCCTCTTTCTTCTTCTCTTCCTCTTTCTTCTTCTGCTTTCTCCTCCTCCTCCTCCTACTTGCTATTATTCCTCCTCCCCTCCTCCTCCTTCTTTCTTCTACTTCCTTTTCCTCCTTCTTCTTCTTCTTTCTCCTCTTTCTTCCTCCTCTTCCTCCTCATTCTTCATGTTCTTCGTCTTGTTCTTCTTATTCCTCCTCCTCTTCCTTCTTTTTCTTCTTCTTGTTCTTCTTAATTCCCTTCTTCTTCCTCCTCCTTCTTGTTCTTATTCCTCCTCCTTCTTCCTTTTCCTCCTCCTCCTCCTTCTTGTTCTTATTCCTCCTTCTTCTTCCTTCTCCTCCTCCCCTCCTTCTTCTTCCTTCTCCTCCTTTTTCATCCTCCTCCTCCTTTTTCTTCTTCTTCTTCCTCCTCCTCCTTCAATGCTGGTCGTTGTCAACCGTCAAATTTTCCTCATGTTCCTATGAGGTCCCATTGACTTGCAGATATTTTAGAGTTATTCGAGGTCTACTCGATGCTAGCTATGTCTGGGTTATAAGCGTCCTGTAAGACAATGTCTCAGAGGGAACCTATAGAGTATGCCTTAGCTAGTTACGCCTTCTGGCGGCAGTTACACTGAAGAGCTATTGAGAGGGAAGTGGAGATTTCTCTTTGTCTGAAACTCAATGTTCTTAGAATGTTAATGACATTTGCTCTCATACGCTTTTGTTGTGTCTTTGTAAAAGGCCACTAGGATCGTGACGAGCTTAGGGGGTCTCGCCACCGGCCTACTGATCTCTTGTCGTGGTTCCAAGTTCTGGCGAAGTGTAAAGATATGATCAATGCAACCTAGACCTTTTTTTTCTCGCTTTATTACGGGACAAAGCCAAGTGAATGTGGCTCGCTTCACTGAAAGCCTGTCTGACCCATCTCCACAGTTCTCTCTTTTCTGTCCACTGAACTGTGTGGTAGGAACAAGTATTCGGGAAATAGTCCATCATTGATCTGGTATAAAGGTGCAGCGCCTCGTTTGGCCGACATCCAAGATCTTCTGATAACAGGGAAAACAAGTTTTACCAATTTCCAGGAAAATAACCCCCGTGGTCTTTCATAGGAAATGTGTACTCAAAAGCTGAAATCATTGACCCCACACCCCGATCACAGTATCGTTTATTGTGACGTCATTGAATCTTCAGTGACACTTGTCACTTTTTTCTTTTCTCTTTTATTACCAGGAACAGCTGTTTAAAAAGATACATTCTATTGTGAAATTAAGCGTTCTAGATACGATGTAACATTTTTAAATATTTTATATGTCCAAGTGGCGAAGAGGAAAGTTTGGAATAACTCTGAAACGGATTAATTCTTTAGTAATAAATTATTGGTCATGTGCTCTTTGCCATGGGATAATGACAAGTAAGCTTAGTTCGAGAGCTATTGCAACTGTATGTATATATTTATGTATGTATTAAATCCTGTAGACTCTCTTGTGAAATATAGAGCCACAGGTACACCACGCTTGTGTTGTGGATTTTGAGGACAAGGAGGTTTTTTTACGGGATGGAGTTGTTCATGCCAGGGCCAACTGGTTTTGAATTCAGAGTTGCTCTTCTCCTATGCTAGTTGACAACCAAGGATAAAGTGTCCAGTCAATCCTACTAATTAAGCCATAGCGTCAAAAAATCCATGTTGATTGCGAGTAACGAGGAAGAAAGAGATATAACAGGGACGCTGTTTGGTTTTAGTGAGAAAAGGAAAACGTACATAATAATAAGAAAGAAAGATAGAAAGAAAGATAGACAGAAAAGAAGAAAAAAGAAAGATAGATAGATAAAAAGAAAGAAACAAGGACAGAAAGAAAGATAGAACGAAAGAAAGAAAGAAACAAAGAAACAAGGAAATATAAAAAGAAAGATAGAACGAAAGAAAGAACGATGAAAAGATAGAAATAAAGAAAGAAAGACACAACGAAAGATAGAGAGAAAGAAAGAAAGCTAGAAAGGCAGAAATAAAGAAAGAAACAAAGAAAAAGAAAGGTAGAAATAAAGAAAGAAAGAAACAAGATAGAAAGAAAGGGAAGATATAGGAGGCGACAACGTGCTCACGCCTTTAGCATCTTCTTCAGTGAAATGGAAAACTTGCTAGTCTTTGTATTAATATTATTATAATATATTATATTTAAGATCTACCGAGATTGCCCTCAATTTATAAATTTATTTATATTTTAAGCGTTTAAGTTATTTTAAACTTTAAATATTAAAATATTTTATTATATATTATATATATATATATATATATATATATATATATATATATATATATATATATATGTATGTATGTATGTATTGATTCTCACCCATTCAAGTGCAGTTGAAATGCACTGAAACGAAGTTGCATCTTTGCAGTGGAAAATGGTTTTTTCTATATGATAAAATTATATTAAATAAATAATTATTGCTCTACTATCGGTATCGATCCTCCTTTGGATTAATGATGTGAACGTTGGAATTTATATATTACTTTGGTTCTTATCACATCGTGTATATATATATATATATATATATATATATATATATATATATATATATAAGCAAAATTTTGAATTAAATTAAAAACGGTAGGATAATTGCTGAAACCTCTTGAAGAGAGGATTAAAAGAATTACAAAAAAAAGGACCTGTCTACGAAATTCTAGAGTCGAGGTGGTGCTGAATATCACATCATTCAGATTAATGAAAATTGTATTTCTATTAATCCTAATATTATCTATCTATCTATCTATCTATCTATCTATAGATATATAGATAGATAGATAATATTAGTAGCCAATATATATATATATATATATATATATATATATATATATATATATATCCCATTTTCCGATTTCTTTTCGAATTTGTAGGTCTGATGAATTGGATCGCTATTACGATTCCAATGTAATAAAATTATAACCATGGATTATTAGTGTTTGAGCCTTTTTTTTATTATATTATATTCTAATATATATATATATATATATATATATATATATATATATATATATATATATATATATTGACTACTAATATTATCAGTATAGTCATTCTAGTCGCACTGTCTTTGATCAGCGCAACAGTTCTGTCTGGAATGACATACACACACAAACACACATATATATATATACATATATATATATATATATATATATATATATATATATATATCAGATAACGAAATATATTTTTATATATCATGAAGAATTGAGGAAATTGTATGATAAAAATCCGTGACGGATGAAACGCGTCAAAATAAACTTTTTCTTACAAAAGTGTCACTGATTGTTGATGAAAGGGTTGTCGAGACACTATTGTGATACTGGTCGTATGAAATTAGGATTCAAAGGGTTTATGTGAAAACCCCTTATAGGAATTGGACAATTGGAAGGCTTAAAAACGTTAAGGTGAAAACATGAATTGAAATATGGAGTAAGGAAAAAAAGGGAGATTTTTTCCTTTCTCATAAACAGAAAGGCAGAATGGAATATTGGGTCCAAAATATGAATTGAGAAATGTGGCCGCTTTTCAGCTGAAAAGTAAATTGTTATAATTCACAAAAAAGATAATGTAAATAATCTGAAAATATAATTTGTGCATTGTCACTGTGCTTGTCAGCTGAAAAACAAATGCATTTGTGATGATTCACAAGCCGATAATACAAACAATCTGAAATATGCTTTTCTAAACATGCAAAGTGTGCAAGTTTTTAATCGGTCACATTGAAAAGTCGACAACAAAGAAAATTCTTTCACGTCAAGGACATAGGAAAGAATCTATAAACACAAGTTTGTCATCGAAGAATGTATTGTTTTGAATAAGTGACCGACCGTGAGCCGTTTTGTTTGAAGGACAGTATTGGTTCTCTAAATTGGAAAGATAATGAATCTTGAGGTGCGGTAGTTGGGCGAATACATATAAACAGGCGCTTAGGAGACTCCAAACCAGAAACCGGCAAAAGTCAGAAGCCAGAAGAAGCCACCTGAATTCCTGACCTTGTGTTTTCTTTTTTTAACCCGCTTCAAGTTTCAGAAGAAAAAGATTTTGAACAAAATGTTATCATACCAATTGACCGAATTCTTCGCCATTCGAATTTTGCGTTGAGATCTTATTTCTTTAGCGATATGTGCACTCTCCACCCCTAACAAAAATTGCCACAGAATCATTTCCTTAGTCAATTCTTCTACTTATAGCCATAAAGTTATTATCTGTGACTAGCTTGGTGGTCTCGTCCCAGAAATGCCAGCCTTGGTCGATTTGCGGTTGTCATCCCTTGGGCCACACTTTGATCAGATTCCCAAGTGGGTTTCAGCGTTATCTTCTAGCGAGGCTCTTTATTCACGAAATGAGGGGAAAAAAATAAAATAAAAGTATATTTTCTTTTGTTTTCGGTATGTCCTTCAGTCTATCTACTACTTTCTTCACTTTTGTGTTCACTTTCGACTTAAGCTTTTTTTCTCTCTTCAAATTATTAGCATTCTTACAAATGTCATAAATATTTTATTAAAATATTTTAGTAGTCTCAGAGAGCCATTTTGGACTTCCATCCGCACGGCTGATGCTAACCTTCAGACGAATAACTGATTGCGCCCTCTTGAGCTAATGTTTTCCACCGATTCTTTCCATGATTATATCGAGTCAATTACTAACGCTTCTGCTCGAACATTTGGTCCACTGCGTCATGTTAAACTAATTTTCTCGCCAGAATCTATCTTACATATTTATAAGTGTACCATTCGTCCATGTTTTGAATATTGTTGGTACATCTGTGTTGGTACCTCCGATATAAATCTAGAGATTCTTGACACTACAAAGAAGAATCTGTAATGTTATCGGTACTGATCTGGCATCTCAGCTTCAGTATCTTCCCCATCGTCGTAAAATAGCTTCCCTCTGCCTAGCCTTAAAATATTTTCATGGCAATTGTCCTGCTGAGCTTTCCTCTTTAGTACCTTGATTACATGAATGCGGGCGTGGTACTTGATGGGCAGCTTAATCTCACTATTTTACTGTTGAAATCGCTAGGTGAAACCGTAAGTTCTATTCTGATATATTCTTCTTTCGTGTTTCTCGCCCGCGGAAATCTCTTCTGGCTTCTCGCTCTCCTGTCAACACGCAAAACTTTGAATGCTACGCCAGTCGTCATCTTCTATCTTCTTGAGTCCTGTTTTTTAATTGTCTTTCTCCTCAATAACTTTTTTTTCTCAATTTCTTTAACTAACCCATTTCGCCTTAGTGGCTTTGTCGCCTTGCTTGCGATGAAATGATTTAAAAATGCAATAAAATAAAATCAGCTTAATGAGTCATATAACAAAACATATCATCCGAATTCTGATGAATAGAGCGCGCAGAAGAATCAATTATGAAATTGGATAAGAACAGTGCGGGTTCGCTAAAGACACTGGAAAAAGGAATATAATATTTATGCTCAGAATGATGTCAAAAAGAGCAATA